AAGATAGCTAAAGGTGTTAAAGGGCTTCTCCAGAGGTCTAAAACGAAGAATACATTTATGGCTGAATTTTGTAGTCCTTGATCCCTTAGACATGGCTGAAGAAGAAATACAGCCTTACTTTATGTATGTATCCTAAACACACACTAGTAACAATTATACCTACAATACAACTGTTATACATTGTCACAGGATTTAATAGCCTGCTGTAAACAGTTTGCTTACATGTTTGCATCATTATTATAGCTGGCATTTTCACCATTAACATGACCCTACAGAGAATATACCATAAAACCTTACTGCCATAGGCCAATTGCCTAGTTTGCAGTTATTCTCAAAAGCCTGTCAGCACGCCTTGGTTTTATTTCCAAGAAAGATGCAATTTCATTGCTGCAAATCAGGCTAGCTTGAACATCGTGAGCACTAAAGCCTACATGCAAACCATTTTTCATATACAGAGTATTTCAGAGTATGCTTACTATTTTTGCCTGCTGTGCATAAACAAAGCTCCATTTGACTTCACTGAGAGTTTCATGATCCTGAAAAGACAGAAGCTTTAAAGCTAAAATGTCCATCTGTAAATTAGGCAGTTAGATGATTGGCCTTTCCAATGTGAATGTAAAAATTCTCTCTCACTGATATGACTCATAACAGGAGCGTCAGTTCAGTCTCATTGTATTGGTGTTTTATATAAGGTGTACCAGACTACTGGGAACTGAGCTGAGCTCACTATATTGTTTCATACAATGGGTTCAGTGTTTCAGGCACTACTTCAGTATTTATTACTGTCCTAAGACAGCTCAGATATGTAACTTAGAAATATTTCCCATCCTACCCTTTCTCCCTATTTTCCTATCACGTAAGTCTGTGGTGGGATCGATTTCACTTGCAGATTGGACCCAGTTCTGAAAGATTCATTTGAATGTTGCCCCTGTATTCCTAGTGAAAGGAAAAAGAGATCCAGTATAAGTTTCCAGTGCCTCCTGGCCTTCTCTTTTTAAAATGTTCTTTGTAATGTTAACTACTGCCATATTTTGGCACACTCCATAGTATTGACTTTGATTTCTGGAAAATGTTCAGAAAGAAACCTGAATGAAAACAAAAAAAAAAAAAAAAAGGAGAAGAAAAAGAAGACTTTACATTTTCTTGAAAAGCTGCTGTTCTTATGGTACAGATAGGACCTAAATCTTTCATCACCCTGAAAATTCACCATCAAATTTTGCAACTTCAGGTTCTATGCAAACAGAAGGCCTTTATCAAGGCTTACTGAAGAAATTGCCTTTCCTTCTTAATCTTCCCTTCATGTAGCCCTTTTGTTGTTTCTTGAGGATTCCCTGCTAGGATGAACAATTATCATAGAGGAAGTTTTCAACACCCTTTTATTTTTCTTATAAGAGAATCTTCTCTATCTTTAACATCCTCCTATGCATCTGTCAGCCAGACACTGAAATTTATTTCTCAATGAATCCTATGTTTTAACACTTTACACTATCATTAAAATGAACTTGGTGAGACTTAACGGTAATTATAAGCTTATTATTTTGACATTTTATTAGGTGATAAAAGGCTCAGAGTTTTCTGTGAACTGAAAACATCATAAGTAATTTAATAGAGTCAAAATTTGAAAACCAAAAAGACAGCACAAGCAGAAAACATAATGAAAGCACAAGACTGACTGCCTAGGTGCTAGACACTTCAGTGTGAGCTTCAGATAGATAGCTATATAGCCAGCCAGCCAGCCAGCCAGCATTTATGTAAGTCATTAGTTGCAAGGAACTCTTTAAATCAAGGCTACGCATTTGAAAATGAGACAAATATACCTCAAGCATCACTGATAGTATCTGCACTACATTAATACCTGCATATTACTGTCTTATACCTGAGCAAGGAATTCATCAAGATCTGAACAGAACCCAGAATATCCTGTCCAAAGACAACTTCTTCTTTAAATTTTGTTAAACTCTAATAAATAGCAGGGGGGGTGGGGCACAGCAAAAATAATAGATACGCCTCTTTGGACCAAATTCAAAAAACAACAATGAATGTAAACAAAAGAAGAAATACTTACATAAAATGTAGTTTTGATCATTTCCGGTGACAGACAATTTTAAAAACTCTAAACAATTGCAACCTTTAAAAATATCCATCACGGTAAAATTATTTCCAGTATACATCCTGTAAAGACAGAATTTAATGTAACTAAGTTTGTCAAGTCTTCCAAGTCAAAGGCATGATTACCACGTGTCAGATATTTGAGGATTAGTTTTGAACTAGCTAGGGTGAGCACCAAAAGCAGCACAGAAACAGCAGCATTGGCTTCAGCCACTTACACAGGCTCTGGATAGACACGTGTGGCACAGAAGTTTCCTCTTCTGAATCTGTTTCTTTTTTTTTTTTTTTAAATCAGCTCCAGTTAGTGCAGTTTTCAGTTATCAGTTTAGTGTTATCTAAAGGACAGAACACCTGAAATTTTTTAGCAGCCATCTTGGTTCTAACAGGTTTGTTAGAAGAAAAGATTCAGGACACAACTGGTTGGTCTTTAGAAAACAATAATCAACTCATGCAGCAGTGATCTACAACAGCACATTTTATAAACAGCGGCTAAGAGCAGAAACACTGTCAGTTTGAACCTGTGGGTGGCATCTGTGAGCACCAGTGCCCATACTTGTGAGACTGCTGAACTGCAAGTTATTTGGCACTGGCTGCTCACCTTCTTTCTAGCTTTTACGGATGCAAAACTCACAACAGGATGGATATGTAAAGTGGATTTCTGATTTAGGCTCCAAGTCTTTGCACAGTGCTTCCACACCACTCTACATTGTTAGAAAAGTCCATGTCACCACTCTTCTACACCACAGCACTAGTAGCCGATTTCATTTCCCTTCAGTGTAAACAGGAATCCCCGAAGTGATGTGACAGCCAGCCACGATGTATGGCTGAGTTCCAAGGAGGCAAGATAAAGGGTGTCCTCCTCTCTCATTGACTGACATTACGGGTCATTTGATAGGATTCTCTGCTTTCTAGATTGAGCTCTAACTTGAAAGGTTTCTGTCTTGTTTCTCACCTTCCCGCGAACATTAGTCCAGAAAATAATTTAGCAAAGTAACGAGGCTTGCACCAGAAGCACAAGCGTATCTCAGAGAGAATCCTTAATGGTTCTGGAGCTGCTATTGCAAACATACATATCCACAGAGTTCCCTTTGCGCTGACTGAAAAGGAGCTCACACTGTCTCATATTTTTGGATTGCAGGCCCTCTGGTTGTTTTTGCTGGAATTAAAGATCTGAAAATTATGAAGACAACACAGTCTGGATTCGAAGGCTTCTATAAGAATGAATACACCACACTTCCTGAAAGGAAGGACAGGATTTTATGTGCAGAGCTCTTCTGCAAATGGTCATATGGCGAATGCAGAGATTTTGACTTTGATTGCATATGGTATATGCCAAATTTAATATATTTATCATCTAATTTATAACCCCAAAGTCCCTCTAAACAACACAGCAGGCATAAGGGTCAGATCTGCCGTTGCTGAGCACCAGCTACTCTCATGGATCGCAGAGGAAGTTCGAACCACTTGATGCCTGTGGGTGTAAGGCAGCCTTCTGCCCAAAGTAAACCTCTGGGGGTAAATCAACTTCTCTCTCTGATGGTGCACGAATGGACAGTGTTTAAATGGGCAGCTTGTGGTTCAATACAGAATACTTTAGGAGAATGCACTCACATCTAATTTGTTAAATACTTTAAACAAAACATTTATTTGCAAATTATAGAGTTGAGGGTAATTAGGAGGTGACAGGGCAAATAAATTGTTCTTTCATGAAATCTTATGTGCTATGTATTGGTAAGAAAAGACACAGACAATTTTATAAAAATGTAACAACACTGAAAAATATTATGGATATAGACATAGACAGCTGATACAAGATTTTGTAATAGCCTATGCTACCTCTAGGAACAAAGTCCGGGAGTGTGTCCTTGAGGCCTTCTCTGGGCCACCTGACTGTGGGGAGTATTCGCCCTCTTACCAGAAGACTGTCAACTGTATCCAGATGCTCATCCTTTCTAAAGTGTCACAGGTATCTTCTTTCCTCCTGTTGACATTTTACTTAAACAATATTGAATACTAATCTGACTCAGAAGATCAGAACGAGCTTATTTTGTCTGGCAGTTCTCAGATTGGAAACTGTTTGGTGGTACAGCTAGATGGTCTGAACAAATACGAATGCACCCAGAAGTTCAGACCTGAGAGGGGTTGAACACTAGCTGTGAAAAAAAAAAAAAAAAAAGAGAAGGAGGGGAGGGGAAAAGAGCAAGAAAAAAAAAAAAAAAAAAAAAAAGGGGGGGGGGGGAGAAAAAGTCAATGCTTGGCAGGGCCAGACTAAAAGTGAAAAGGGTGATACAAAAGAAAATTATTCACATGCTCAATAGATTGCATTTTATCAACATTACAGATTTTTCTTGGGGATTTCAATTGCTTTTTTTTCCAGTGAGTGCAAATATTACCAGGGCATTGACTAAGAAGGTGCACTAATTCATTGTCCCACCTATTTGCATGGTTTCAGGTACAGGTCATTGAAGTCATCTTGAACAACATTTTTTACAATGTTGTAGACATGAAGAATCTAGGCTTGACCAATGACAAAGAAGTAAGTAAACGTTGAATATACAACTTGCCAGGACTCTTTAGAAATGCTCAGCTTTAAACTATAGCACCAGTTCTGCACAGAACAGAGTTAAACGGAGCAATCTTTCCACCCCAGCCAAAGAGAACACTAACGCTAAAAGAGATTTATGCTGATTACAAGAGAAGGATAATTGCTTTCTTATGTTATTGATAAAAGCTCAAGGAGCAGGGCGGAATGCTTTGGAGATTAAAAAGGTCTATAACTACAGTTATGGAAAACATCTGAAAAATTCTCCTGTTTTCTCTTCTGAATTTGACTTTTAGTGATAATGTCAGCCTGTGTACTTTTAATCAAGCAGAACATGTCAGATTGTCCATTCGCATAGCCAGACAATTTGAAATGCTACACCAATATGGCTATTCTTTCCTTTTCTTCACTGGCAGTACCACCAAGGCCAGTGAGGATCTGTCATTTCTCCTTGCTGCAGCAGTGCAATAACTAGGTTAACTAGGTCCATAGGCTAAATCTCTAGGTGACAAAAGACCAGCACTCTACTAGAGCAATGAAGGGACAGACTGTTCCTCGGGCCATTAGGAGCCAAAGCAGATTGGCCCAACAGTAGACAAGATTGGATTGAGGGTTAGAGACATGCAGGACATGAAGATTTACTCCTTCCTCCACAGCTGCTCCAGCTGATGGCCAGGTCCAGCTGAAAATCTGTCCAAATGCTATCCTCATGTGAATATCTGAGAGAGAAACTGGGTTATTCAGTTCTGCAATTGCGATTTTGATTGATCAATGGTCTATAGTCTGTTTATTCTCTAGTCTCTCTCCCTAATGCTTGTGATTCTCCTGCAATGCTCCTTGTTCTCTTTTGGGTGAACAATACAGATCTGCTTTCACTTGAGATAAAAGCAAAACCTACCATTAATGTTCATAGGAGAAGGAAAGGGCCTGGGAATGATTTTGAGAGGAAGTGAATAGCTGCAGTTTCTGCTGGACAGCTACTGTAGTACCAAGCTCCTTTGATGGCAATGGCACATCCTTGCTTCAGGAATGACATTCATGTTTCTGCTTGTTCTTCTCAGGTTCTAGTTCCAGTGGAAACTCCCTATGGCTCCTGCACTTGCACACTTGGCAGAAAGAAGTTCTTGGAAGCACAAGGTCAAGTGCTAAAAGATGAGAAGTAAAGTCAGTTTGGAGTGGCAGCTGCCCAGGGAACAAACTAAACTTGGCTCCACTCATACACTCCTGATAAATGTACCATACGATTTTCCCATCAATATATACTCCTTATCAGCCTCTTCCATTGCTGACTGCTTTCGCCTCTATGAACTCCTGAGGTTGGGATTTCTAAAGGAGTCTCAGGAATTCAAATATCAAAGTCTCTCCCTGAATCTCAGTGTGACTTGCAGATTGAATTCCCTTAGGCTCTTCAGAAAATCCTAGCTGGAAACATTCTAGTCAATTCATTTTTAAACTAGTTATTCCTATATTAATGGAACAGTCAATGAATTTCATAATGTCTATAACATGCTTTTGACATGCAAAATGATCAACTCTGTATATTCTGACTATTTATTAATCTTCCTGCATTAAAATTAATATACAGGCATAAGACCAGACATTTCATTAATGTAACCTGTCATGATACCTTGATGCCACACTGATCTATCTACAGAGCTGAGGTTCTGATGCAATAACTGAACAGTGATTCAGTCAAACACTTACTGCTTTGTGAAGTATATGAATAAAAAGGAAAGTACCTATCGTATTTCCTTTGCAGCTTGAATGGTTACAGCTGTTGAATTATTTTTCTGCAAGTATTCTGATTATATGTCTGCTGCTGTTATTCATCAGACTATACTGTTACTATACAACTACTCTCATATTAACCACTGAGATGTTTGAGGTTTTAGGTTATCCCTGTTGTTTAATGATAAAGTTTTCTTCAGTCTAATAACCATGTCATGACTTCTGAGCAGGCACGAATCAACCTAAGTAATCCTACTACTTTTGGGAAGGGCAACAAGCTAGACAGTCGATGTTTATCTTATTTTCAGTGAGTTTAGTTACCCCAGGTGATAGCTTTGAGCAGAGATATTGAATACAACGAACAATTCTCGTCTCACAAACGGCAGCTACTACATCTGCAACAGAAATCCCACTCAACTTCTGACAGCTTCTGACTGCTACTTTCAGTTTCTCAGCGTGTCATTTTCGGAGACCTTTGTGACACAAGAGTATAAATCCAATGGGAAGTGCTCAAAGTAACTTCTGAAAACAGCAACTCAGTTGCCTTTGTGACTTCTCAGTTTAGGCAGGCCTACAAAACTCCTCTGGGTATGATCGTTAAATTCACAGGCACTGAAAACAAGTAACACGTTCTGCCTTTGCAAGATAGGAACTTTTCTTGCCTTGGTCAGCAGGACATAACAAACATGAAGACAAGATGCTATTATTCATAAACCTGAAGTACCTCCTTAAAAGGTACAAATGATCTGTCAGGACAAATGATCTGTCCCTGATATACTGTTCCTTGGTCACTCGTGGATTCAAAAAGCTTGATTTGTAACACTTTCTGCTTTGTCTGGGGACACACTTTCTCACCTTGTTAGAATTATGTTGTATTGTATTTGCGGGTTTATGTCTTACTATTTTCTGCTATTTTTAGGGGCTTATTAATGTATCTTTTAGGGGTAAATAAAGAGCAGCATAAAAAACCAAATACACCAGTATATGACTATTTACCAAATAAGAAATGAATTCATTTTCTTTTTATAGACGAATGCAAACATTGGTAATTAATAGAAATAAATTTTAGGCCAGACAATTTTACCTAAAAAAGTAACCAGTCTTGTTCCAAAAAATGGATCACTACCAGTTATTAAGAAAGGAGTAAGGAAAAAAGATCTTATGAAACATTTCAATATTTACCTCTTTCTAAACAAAGTAGATCATTTGTTCTGCTCTCACTGCCCACTTCCTACCTTATGAAAAATATATGGCAGTGGATGGAAGGTTTCTTATCACTACTACTTGTGTTTCATTTGTGGGCTTGCAAAGTAGTAATGGATTAACCTTCATGGCAGAATGAGGACACAAAGTAGTAACCAGTTGTTTATTTAGACTTTCCTGTGGCTCCAAGCAAACATGTACACTCATGCAATGTGGTTTCTCTAGACCTCCACAACCCATACAGACATTTGGCAGATCTTTAAAGGCATCTCAGCATAGCTCTACCCAGCACTGCAAGGCCTGAGTCACTGCTTACATGAGCAGATTCCCTCTAAAAAAAGGATTAAGGCAGTTGGAATAAGCCCACATCTCTCAAATGGCAATTAGATTCAGATCACGATGGCATAAATCATTCTTGAAAATGGGACTTAGCCACATAACTTACTTGGGCCTCAGCCCTGACCAAATTCACATTGGCTTCATTAGATTCTGCCTCCACAATAGACTTTGCATGGTTTTAATTGGAAGAACAATTTTTTTGATTCCTGCCCTAAGGGGCTATTGAAGTTGCCTACTGTGTTTTATTCAGAAGTGGCTGTTATGCTTTGCTGATGAAGTCACACGTAAGGAAAATGAACAGCAGCTACTAGATTGCTTGTAAAATTGCCATTCAAAATACATTTTCTTGCTGATAATGTGGGCCTTTGCTAATCTTGCTCTACATCCTAGTAGTTTTTTCTATGATGCCTGGAGCCTCCTACAGAGAAAAAGAAACAGACTATTCCATGTGCAGAAACATCTTACTACCGTCTTGTTTTCTGATTCTTTCACATCCTGTTTCCGTTCAGTTCTGGTAGGACAATCCAGGCACAATCTTCGTCTGCTGATGATCATGTCCCGCGTACAATCAACATCACATAAAGACAAAATGCACTAGCCAAATTCATTAACTGATATCTAACACTGAAACAAAATGTCACTTGCAGAGTCTGTACAAGCGTTCTGTTTTTACTAGCCACATTATTCTACATATATTCAGTCTACCTGCTTCCTAACACACATTTAAATCTGTCAGCTTTTATTAGCTATTTCAGCTACTTTGTTTTCTTCTTATTTAAAGGCTTTTTTATCTTGCATGGGGTGCAGAACCCTGATTCTAAGCTTAACTGACCTGACGTAAGGTGATAAAAAAAATTAATGGTTACATATCTCAGTATAAATGCTTTTCAGCTATTTTTGCACATGTAACAGCCAACCATCTTCTTCCTGGAAAGTGCACAGCTGTATCTAGAAAGAAAACCTATTAACTGTCTCTAGCTCAAAAGTGTCACTCATGTCTCAGCTGTAATTAGAATATATAAACTGTTCTGAGATTGCAAGACTGAACCTAACCATTCAAAAATGGCCTAGAAAGGACACGTGCATGTTCATGAGCATGCATATACACCTGCTCCCCTATCCCCTGTGTGTGTGTATGTATGTGTATATATATATATACACACACACACACGTATGGCATATACATATGCATGGCACTGAATCAGCTGGCCTATGACTGAACTATGGCAATCAGATAAAAAACAGAATGAACAGGGGTTAGCTGTGATGTAGATTTACTGCAAACTTGCAAAATTTTCTTTCCAGTTATCCACTTTCTATTTACCTTTTTTTTTTCCCACTGGCAAGCTGGAACTCCATTGCTCTTCCTTCACACCAGTTATCAAAGCAAAAGGTTAAGCCTGTATGTAGTTTGTGGCTGGGCTACGCTTCTAAGACAGGCTGAATTTGAATGTGACAAGACTGTGGATTACTTTACACATATTTGCAGCTAAAAGGCTGCAAGTCTCCTTCAGTCCCCTGCTGAGTGACTGCCAACTCAGGGATCACAGTGAGGATAGGCATGATCACTTCTCACTACAGCGCTGCAGGTGGGCAGAGGGTAAGATGTTTACTCCAGCATACCTCGAAGTCAAAGACTGGAGCAGAAATGGGCATCAACTCATAATGGCCCAGGCACGAGAGCAGCCCAGTTTTGTAGGGAATGTTACCATATAGCCCCCAAGAGCACTATCCATACTGAGTGGGGGCACACAGAGGAAAAAAGAAAAGCTTACATGCATCTTAGCAAACTGATAACAACTCTGCTCCCGGCTTTGCCTACCCTGCAAACTGCTCTCAAGGTAAAAGCATATCTCAGCTCTGAGTGCTGGTGTTGGCCACTGCATTCCCTCTGCTGGGATACCAGTAAGTTTTTCTGGATCTGCCAGGTAACACTCGCTTGCTTCCTCTGCTGGATTGAGTTGCAGCCTGCCATGTCTCCATGGTGCTCCAGCCCAAACTATACACCAGGACAGGAGTTTTCCTGCAAGCAAATGCTTGCCTGTGGGACAAGCATTTACAGCCCAGGCCCTGTTGGATGGAGGCACACAGTGGTGCCAACCTGGAATGGGAACATAAGATGACAGAGGCAAGAGAGACTAGAAGATAAGGAGGAAACAAGAAGACTGGCAGGGAGGAGGAGAAATACAGCAATAGGAAAAAAAAATTATCAGGCAAATCAAGGAAAGGAGAGAACAGAAAAATAGAACAACCAGAGAGGACAAATCTCTCTGGTATCTGGGCACTTCAGAAGGGAAAACACAAGCTCAAAACTAGTATTTGAGGGACTCAAAACTAGAAAATGAGGTGATATACAAACTTTTGGTGCAGAGGGAAAGTGAATAGCAGAGCCCACGGTGCCAGAGCATTGAGGGCGTCCACCACCTAACAGAGTGGAATTAAGCATGAATTCCCACACTTTAAGATCCATACTGGACTGGAAAAAGACAAGAGCTCAAGTTTTAATGACCTTGTGCTCCTGCAACGTTTTGAAATCTTCTGGATTACAGATTATTTCCAGTTTAGAGAAGCCTACGCAAGCTGACACATAGCATTTACGCAAAAGCAAGGCAGGAATTGAAGAGATGTATCCTTACAAAACAGTGCTGCTACATCTAGGCGCACACCCACTTCCACGTTTATCCCTGTGGTTTGGCCAGCAGTTAGGATGCAAATTCAGCTACACATTCCCTCATCTTTACTCCATTCCTCCTGCTGCAATCCACCAGCAGAAGATGATGCAGCACTGCACTTGGTCTTGATGGCTGACCCTTCCCTGCCTCTTCTGAAACACTTTAGTCATTGCAAAGTCAGGGCTGCCCTCAACATGCCAAGTATTGCGCAGGCTTTATAGAGAGAAAACTGGTTTGTAGCAAGCATCTGTAAAGGGGAAGAAAACGTCTTGAAATCGGTGCAAGCCTGCCAGGACCAAGAAATTTTTTGGTGCCTTATCAGCAGCTGAACTGCTGATAAGGCAGTTACAACTGCTGATTGTTCCTTTCGCAAAGACTAGCACGAACGCAGCAACAAAATACAACTAAATACAACAGCAGCTTCTAGCACTCGCCAGCAGTAGTGATGAAACTCTCACATGGAGATTAGGGGCTATTTATAGTCTTCAGGATGCCCCCATTGAGCTCTCCAGGTATTTTATGTTATGGTCATGTACCCCAAATTCACAGCATCTACCAGCTAATGTTATTCTGGAGCTGAGCTGAACACATAGCTGAGATCCAAAGGAACATCACTAGGTCCAACACTTTCCTAATTACAGGCGTTAAGCAAAAAAAGAATTTAATGATCTTTTCATATTAATATATTAAACAAAATGCAGCTTTTCCCAACAGAAACGAAAGCTACTTACTTAAGCAGTCTGCCCGATATTCCAATGGACACTGCCCTTGCAGGCTGCCAGTGCGTTAATCACAGCCGTTGCTCTCTGAAACCCCCGGGGGAAGCTGCTGTCACAACTGAACAACTGCAGGCTGGATGCAGAGGGGAAGGTGTGTGGAGGCCTTCGATGTGATGGAGTGAGAAACGGAGAGGCTCTCCTGGCTGACATCTCCAAGCACCGAGTCCTCTAGTTCTCTTGGATGAAGCAGTGCCAATCCGTCACCCACGTAATTGCCACTGTGCTGGAGGTGAGAGGGCAGACCAGATCCCTCTGGTCATCCTGCTTTCTACTGAGCCAGTGATGGCTACGATGTTCACTCACACAGTGAGAATCACTATATTTTCCATATGTCTTTTGGGCCAAAACCCACTACTGGAAGGGAAGGAACTGCCGTTCTGACTTGGAAGTAAAGAACCAGAATAGACACAAACTGAGATGTTTTTCTGGTCCTGCTCAGTCTCAGCCTTCACGTTTTTGATCATTTAGAGCTATGTAAGACAACATTGCCATAAAAATGAGAAACATTAACCAGCTTTGTAGCTTCTCCCAGGATCACACAAAAAAGGGCCCTTTCAAATAACTGCAATTGTAATTGGTGCATATCAGGAGAAAGACTGTTGAAGACTCAGTTAAATGCTGATGCCGATTTTTAAAAAGAAGAGGCAAAAGAGGAGATAAGGGACTTGGCAGAAGTACAACATATTGGGAAAAAAAAGCAGCAAAAGAGGAGTTAATTTAGCAAGTTATCACTGACAGTGAGGGCCTAATGTGACATTTTCCTGGGCCCTTCCTAACCAGGAGTGATGCATGGGTGATACTCCCTTCGCTACAGCTGCCACGTCTTGTCCTCTAATTATAACAGCAGAGAACTTTCTACAAATTGATAAAACAAAGTGCAGCACATTAAGGCAAACTGTTTTAAAGAGAAGAATTATAAATTCAGGCATGAGAAAGAACAGCGAGCAGAAAACAGTTTTCTTTGGGTTGAGAGCGTGACCCTGGTGGAGAGGCACAGCCTTCATGCCTTGCTGCCAGTTGCCTTACATATGCTTAATTTGTGGTACTTAGCTCTGTATTTGGATACAAAGAGAACATGCTATGCATTGTGCATCCACAATTGGAGAGGACAGCAAACTACTTCCATCAGAGCTGATGAGCAGTACCAAAAAAGGGATACTGTAGTGCTTTTGAATCAGGTTGAAAAATGTTATGCAGATTCAGACAGACAAGCACTAGCAGTATTAGGAGAGGGGCAAGAGGGGGGAAGGGAACAGGAGGACCTTGGCTGCAGCACATCTCCGCTCTTCTGCTGACCTGCAGCAGGTCAGGAGAGCTGACAGCTGCTTTGCTCCATAAAGCTCCTTCCGGACATTGCTCCAGGAGAGGGGAAGCCACTCTCTGAAGTGCTCATTCAGTGTGAAAATGAGAAGACCTACAGTACTGAGACCGTCTTCACTCTCACACCTAGTATCAGCTGCGCAGTTGGACAGCTGGCAGCTTAAATATCACCTAAAGCACAGGGATAGTTTTCAAGGAAGGCAATCTCCCAGCTGCAGTGTTCAGGGCATGTTTTAAATTGGAGTCCTGTATGGCTCTGCGCATATCAGAACTGCAGTATTGACATAGTATCCAGTACTGCCCATCAGTCGCTTCCTCATCTCAACAGCAGCTGTGTTTTCTGCGAGAGAAATGGCAGCTAAAAATAACCTGGCTTTGACTTCCTCTTTCAAAACATTCAATCTGTTTTAAAAAGATCCCCCCCGCCCCCAAAGCAGCAAGGAGAATGTAACAGGGAAAACCAGGACGGTCACCTGCACAAAGAGAATGGCAGCATTAGAAAGCTCAGAAAACAGTAGGAAACCACAATGATCAGAGACAGGAAAAGAAAAATTGCTTCTCTCTGCATAACATCCTCCAAATTCCCTTTCAGGCTTGCAGTGAGAATTCTGTTATGCCCCTACCTGCATGAATCAGTTAGTGGTGTTGATTAAAAGAGGAATACAATCTGGATGTTTTTGAATCCAATTCATTTGCTCGTTAAAACATCGTAAAAGAAAGTGCATTGCTCAGTAATTACCAAGTGAGCCCTCACGGCTATACAGTGGAGGTTTTTACTTCCTGATGGAATAAATATATTTTACTTATAATTCTGTATCATTCACAGATTTACAAAACGTGTTTCTACCACCCCAAAGCAAATGGAGACACAGATACTATTCAGTTCCTCTTTCAGTAATGCAGTACTATGTAATCTATTCCAACAATTCCAAGAATACAGGGTTGGTAGGGATCTACTGACTGCTGCAGGCAGCTGCTTCACATAATCCTTTTCATAAACAGATCTAGTTCTATATTAAAATATTCAGGAGTTTCATGTACAATTTTTCAGTTGCAGCCTGTAACTAGCCAGATGCAGACTATCTCTGAAAACTCCCCAGGCAAGGATGATGCTCTCTCTTTGAATCAAGCCTTCCAGAAGATCCCTGCTCCCAGCAGGTATCCCCGGATGCTACCAAACTATAAATAAAAAAGTTGTAAGCAGAATACAGACTATTACATACAAAGCAGCTGCTAATAGACTGATACCTAAAAATGAATACAGTACAAGGGACAGAGAAGAGTGGTGAATATATCCCTGCCTCCTGCTATGTGTCTCAAATTCCAAATACAGTGTACAGTACAATGTAAAGATTAGAAGCCATACAAGAAAGCACACTGCTGTATAGTTTATGTATTACACAGCGCACTGTGAGCTTTACCTACAGCCCAGCTACTCGTGTGGTTTTATCCCCTCTCAAATCTCAACACAAGAAATCATAAGCAATCGTCCTAGTGCTGTAGCATCCACAGCCTCCTTGCACTTGGCCAAGCTAGCAGTGAAGGCAGAGCCACCACCCAGGCAGGATCACAGGAGCTTCGGCTTCCCCTCACTGAATCCTATCCCTTTGTCCCTACCTGGCTGACAGCGCTGCACTTTCTTACCTTCTCCATTCTCAGCTATATCCCCTCACCATCTCCTCCCACCCCATTTCCACATTCACCACACTCCTCTGCTTGTTTGCTACTTCCCAGTTCCTCTGCTCAGCTTCACTGATGCAACCCCATGTCGCAGTTTCACAGGTCCTCACAAAGCTCTCTGGGTCAGGAATGACGGTGAGCCTGGACTGTTCTTAGCACTATCTGTGGGATACCTCCCAGGCGCTCCGGGGTAATTCACCCTGCTGTATCAGGGCCAGCACAGGACCTCTGCACCACTGGGAGCTCTAGAGGGGAGTAAGAGAAGTACAGGTGTTACTGGTGAACTGCGACCAGGGCTTCAGATTCTCACCTTCAGCACTGCCTAAACAAAAGCAAAAACAATGGAATCTGTAAATTCTAGGCAGAGGATGTTAGAAGTAACCACAAGAACATAGGATATTAAGTAGCTTTTGGTACCTTTTTAATGGGAAAATGGAGGAAAAAAAGGGAGCCCCTGATACACTGCAACAAAGAAACAGAGAAAGTAAAAAAAAAAGCTGTAAAGTAAACTGAATCCAAACATAAGCAATGCTTTATTGGGATATAGCAAGCAACCTATCAAATAGGGAACTGGTACAGACTGAACAAGACTCTCTTTTAACAGAGACGTATGGTGACAAGACAGCTTCTTTCAGTTTTTTAAAACAACTATCCGAACCGTAAGTAAAGCATCAAAAAAACCAACTGTTACAACACCATGACAGACAATAATATTAAAAATGTGCAGAATTTTACTCTTTTTACAAACTTCTGCATAATGTTAGAAAACAAATTATTATAAATTAAAAAAGAATAAAATGAAGTTTTTGTTTTGCAAAGCAACACAAACTTTTAAAAACTAACTATATTTTACACAGAACTACGATTAAAAACAGGTGAAACAAGCTGAAAATTTAAAGGACAGCAAAAAATACACAACCCAGTTTCACCTGTCAGCAACACCTTCTGCTATCGAAGGGGTTATGTTAGTTGTATGTACAGCTTTAAACATTGCAGCATACCACAAGTAAACCTTAATAAGGTCAAAAATAGGACCCTCTGCAAAAAAGGGCGAGTTGACAAGTCTCAGTCCCATCCCAAAATTATAAGTAGCAATAATTTCAGTAGGTCTTTAATGTACACCAGAACATACTTTTATTGGTTTCTCTCTCCCAAAGATGGATGTAAACTTCTTTTTGTTCTTTTTTTGGTATTCTAATTAATGAAAACAAGAACATGTCTGGCTCAGAAATGAGAATGACCATACTTCCCTTTTGTTCTGGATACAGTGATGTAGCTATCTCAACACGCTCACTGACAAATCCTAAAAGAGAAAATCGTTATGCACCATGTAAAAAATACACATCACCTCTCTCAGTTCAGACTTAGTATATAGTATATTGCCAACTCTATCCAATAGGATATATATCATTGTAATTTGGTTTAAATTCTTAATGGATATATTCTCTCTTTACAAAGTTCCATCACATGAAACCAAATTGCTTATTCATTGTTTGAGGCACAACATGGCCCCAATTAGACAATTCGCTATAAAGAGTTGTTCTTTAGATGTTGTGTCTGTAGAGGTTTTACGTGATATTCATAGATTTTCAGCGCAGGCCCCAGTTTTAATGAAAGTCCAGTCAGTACATCATTTCTTGTCATCAACAGTAATGATTTGCCATCAATTTCCTATAAGAAGAATTAAAGAGTTGATGAAGACAACGTACAAATTAACAGGTGAGAACAGTAATGCAACAAATAGAAGATTACTACAGAGGATCAAAGAAAAAAGAAATAGTAGCATTTATTTTTCTAAAACTTAATGTTTGTAACTGTTAAATTTTCTAATAGTCTGGTTTTCAAGTGCTCGCCTGTGCTGACTAAGGCACAAACACTATTTAGTTGGACACAAAACCCGAAGCTGCCTCACTTCAAAATTCCCTCCTTCTAAATCTATTTCAAATTAATACATACGTGTATAGATTGCCTAATTATCGGTCATAAAGGGAGGGATGGTCTTAGGGAGAAGGCAGTGAACTGCCTATCAGAAGAATTACCATTAACAGCAATGTGCAAGTTTGGACTAGTCTTGTCATTATCTGCTAACAACTTCAGGTGCCTGCTTTAAAAGACTACCCTTTGCATGCCTTCTTGGGAAAAAAAAAGAGACTCCTGCAATTAGAAATTTTAAAGGGGCATGACTATGGAAATTAACCGTCTGGAGAAACTTCTCTTCCTCCACTGACAATGAAGGAGGCTAAGAAGAGTGGCTTCCCAGTTTGGGTCTCAACACCTCCTACTTGTTTGTGCTTAAATTTCCCACGTTTAAATCATTGCTAATGCACTTTCTCTCAGACTGGTTTTCGGACCTACTTAGATTAGAAATCCTGTAGACTTTGGGGTGGGGGGGTGGTTTCCAACTCAAAACCTTTTCATACTGTTGCAAATTAACCGTGATTTTTCCAAAGTCAAAAAGCAAGAGAAAAAAATACGCATTTCTTAGCTCCCACCTCTATTTTAACACATGGGACTGTTCTTTCTATACAGTTCTGCAGTTCAATCACACTGCACTACCCAGGAAACATGAGCTACACCCACAGAACAGTGCTTGACTGGTGTTTCACAGCACAGCCAGATCTCCCAAGATCATCATAGCTCAAAAAAGTACGTAGCCTTATGTGTTCTCCAGCACTGGACTCTAACTTTTAAATAAAACATGCAAACACAACTTTGAATTTGATAGCAATAGTCAACAACCAGTTCAGCTGCTTGCATATATGGTTGTTGTCCATCACAATATAGTCAACTATCAAACTATATTGCCAAACTTTGTATTTTATAAGCATTACATTGTAATTATATTATTTTATAAGCATTATATAAAAACATCCCACATCAACATATGCCACTGCAGTATCTTCCTTACAAATATTAAATGTCGTCTTGCAAATGTCACAGATCACCCTAATATAAGGGAGACTTACATTAGCGTTTAGCATTAATTTGCCCAGACTGATCTCTATCATGTGAGAAAGTTTATAAATACAAAGAGCACAGAAAAAAAGAAAACACAACATAGTCACAGATCAACTGAAAGTGGAATTTCTTTAAAATCTAACCAGATATGAATGCTAATCCCTCAAGTGGAGCACAACATAACTTAGCATTTCTAAAAAAATATTTTCAGTAACTTTTTACCCAATTATAGCAGGCGCCTCCTTCCAATTACTGTTGAGAATGTTAATAGTTAGAAACAGTTTCTATTCTCTCCCTCCCATTTGTCACAATCCTTTTTGTGGAAATGCTGACATCATTGACTATTTTGCTCATTCTTATGACTGATCTAAAGTTGCCTTTTCCTCTGCTGTTCAGTGATGGAATGGAGGATGAAGAACAGCCTCCAGCTTGGTGGGAACCAAAGTAAATCCAATGCCTGGAATGGGAGAAACTCCAAAAATAGGAAAAGAGTATCTATTCCTTTCCCTCCTTCTTCCTCAGCAGGGTTCCCCATGTATTCTGGAAATGTTAGGAACTAGGTCATCTAAGGCTTTCACTGAATAGAAGATTGATTCTCTAAACATGTCTGGGGATGAGTGAATATGAACTCAGAATTCAAGTGTGTTACATCTTTGTGCCTATCATAAGCTCTACCTTTTTTTCCCACCTTTACTTCCAGATCTTTTTGCTTTTCCACTTAAACCTACTTCCACAGATTTGTCATAGTCATTCCATATTTTTGACATCAGATAAGGCTTCATACGCTTTGGTGACTTTTGTGAATTTCTTCTCTGCTACTTCTCTGTCTTCTGGATCTTTGTCAGGATGCAGCTTCAATGATAGCTTTCAGTATGCCTTTTTAATACAAGCTGCAGAGGCATCCCTCTGCTCTCCTAGAGCCTTATAGTAATCCCCCATAGTGCCAGAATGGTCTCAGTGCCTGCGTTCCACCACACTGTGGCTCTCCTAGAAGGCAGCAGCAGACACCAGCTGGTGTCCAGCCCCAGCTTTCAAGCTCGCTGAGGGTAACCATTGGCAAGGAGTTTTTATGATACGACAGCGAGGCCAGCGAACCACTAATAGGTTCCTTTGGCTCACTGGCATACTGCATTACTACTGGTTAAGAAACTGTTGGTGGCAACACTAGCATTTCCTGAAGCAAAGCAAACAGCTTCAGTCTTGGAGCAAGCCACAGCCTCACATGCTCCCAGGGCTGCCACAGAAACCTCGGCAACACCCTTGGGCAGACAATAGTTCTTTGAAGGTGTTTACACCCTCGTCCCTCATCTGTTCTGCCTCTCTCTTTAGTTGTCCTGTATCCTCAACTCCTTGGCTCAGCTGGAAAGAGTTGTTTGCTGATGTTTTGCTTTTCATAACTGGGTGATATCTTCTTTTAGTTGAATCTGTTTTCATCAGAGAGATCTTTGGTCTTGCTGACATCAGTGGAACTCCAAGAAGGAAATATAATCATCATTATCACCTACCAGCATTTACAGCACAGTTTTTAAAAAAACATTCTATAGTCCTTAAAACGTTTCCTCTAAGTAAGAGATATTCAGGTCTTACAAGATCATTGAGCCATTTGCTTCACGGGAAAGAGGCCATACTTACTTAGAATTCATTAAAAGAAAGTCTGGACTCAGTTACTGTTATGTAAATTCTGAGTATAACAACAGATCTCATGACTGCATTCTGGATGACAAGGAAACCATTCTGCTACCCCTGCTGAAGCAGTTCAGTGGAAAACAATTTCCCACAGTGTTGTAGATGAAATGGGATACTTCCCCTTGCCATTTACAACCTCTTTCACCTTCCAGTGCATATCTGGGGGAGTAGCAGATCAAATGAATTTAAGTTTCTGAAGCCTGGGAAAGCTGCTGAAGAAAGGGTAGGGAAATTCAGAGAAGGCCACAGCATCAGCTGCGTGCCCTGTGGCTCCATACACAGAGGATGGCTAGGAGCTCAAAGTGAACCAGGCAGCATTGCCACAGCCAGAGGGTCTGAGAGATCCTGATAGCATTTATCAGAAGTAAACAGAGTTAAAGCTAGTGGCTTCTAAAACAGCATAGAGAAAACAGCTAAGAGACCGGTAAGAGGTTAGGCGCAGAGTTTCAGTTTAGGCTCTTCCTGGTGCAGACTGGAAGGATTGGGCAGAGCTGGGATGGAGAACCAGGCACTAGCCTCTCCCAGTGCTGCTGAGGGAATGGAGGGGGAAGAAAATGGCAATAACTTCTGCTATGAGAAGTGTCTGCTCACATCACCTGGCCTTGGTGGCAACTGTCAGCCTCTCCTCCTCAAAACTCTCATATCAAGTGACGTCGGCAGTAGAAGCTCAGCCACATTTCTGCCCATGGCCGTTTACTGCCTATCTTTCCTAGCAGAGCCCTGGCAACACATTCCTAAAAAAGAACCTTACTTTAGCTTTCCTCCCAAAGCCACTCGCCCTCACTGCAGAATACTAATAACACCTGTACGCTCCACTTCTATGCTGCCTTCCATCAGGCTGTTGCAAATTGCTTTGCCAAAACTCATGCATTAGCCTCACCTTGCTGCTGCAAGATCAGTAGTAATTACTGCAGTACTGTTGAGAAGGGAGCCCAGGTGCAGAGAGGTTAAGATATTTGATGAAAGTCAGAGGTATCTGTCAGCATAAGGGAAAAAAACACCCAGAGGCCTCAATTTTTTGGCCTGTGTTTTTCTTAAGTCACTCTTCCCAGTGTTGTTGAAAAGACATGAATGCTAGTATTAAGGAATGAATACACTTAGAGTATTTTTGTTTGTTTACCCATCTTCAAATTCTGAAAAATTAGCAGGAGCTGCAGGAAGACCTTCCCTCTGCACCCTTCCAGAGAATTACCCAGTAACAGCTTTTTCACCCCCCTAGGTCAAAGAGCTAAATTTAGATACTGTGTTACACTCATCAGTTACAATCAGATCTAGTTTCACTGTCCAGGCGCTGAAGGTCAGGAAGATTAACCTGATGAAGGGGCTAACTTTATTTCACTTTAGATGCACTGTTTTCCTGCAGAGTTGCCAATAACTTGCACTGGCTCAGCACTTTGGAATGTGAGGCCACCTATTTTGGTAACTAAATACAAGCATTGGCAACTAATTTCCTGGTTCTCACATGCAAACCTATGGACTTATCAGAGAAGACGCTGGAGTGCATCTGGAGATGCAAGTTCCTTCTCTGTGGAAGAGATGCACTGTAGGCCAAACTTTCCTATCCTGCCCTGCTAACATACTTTACCCATACGTGTTAAGCTCCTTGCTCACCAAAACTGCCCAAAAAAACCCATCTATTAGCAATATCTATAAGGGAAACCACACAGGTATTTGTTACATTGAGACAAACAGAGACCACCGTCATGTATGTGAGCTGGTAAAGCTATCCCTAGGGTCAGTACCACAAAGGCTATGCTTGAAGCAGCAACCTGTGGGAAAAGGCTGTACATCAGACACCATTTTCTGTAGAAGGCAGTCCATAGCTGCCCCCTTAACTGACTTTCTCCGGTAACTTTACCTTGTCATGTAAAAGCAGATGGGGAAAATTTTTCACAGAAGACAGGGCTGCATTCTCCAGTTCACAATTTTTGCTCAGCTCACAGATATGCTGCAGGAAACAGACTCTCCAGATCTTACTCAGGCTTAAAAGCACCAACAGTGTCTTCTGCCTCCCTCCCACAAGCCCCAAAAAGGAAGACCTGACCTTCTTCTCAAACTGAGAGTCCCCGAAACATGCTGCCTCTGTGCAAGGAAAGCTCCCCCCCCACCCCCCCCAACAATCTTCAAGCCAATGGGACATAGCAGCCCTTTTTTTCATCCAAGGTCCTCAAAAGCAAAGATTTTATCCCAGGATTTTATAAATTCATGAGTGTATTTGCACAGTGCACTTCGGAAGAAGTGAAGCACCATTCCCATTTTAAGCAACAAAACAGTGAAATTGAATGCTTGTATACGGAGTCTGAGACAAAGTCAAAAAATGTGTTTTCATTCCTCAGCTTTCAGATGAGTGTTTTGAACACATACTCCATTTTCATTTCACTATCCGTATCTTGCGGAGCGATATTGTTACTAAAAGATCACAGTAGTCCCATGGATTTTCACCCTCTAACAGTGATTTTCAAGGATCCTTCACACCTTACCATGCACTAACTGAACGATCAGATCCATTGCAAAAACGTGCAGTGTGAGAAAGTGGTGGCAGCCAAAGTGAATGCATGTTTCCTAACAGATTTACCTGTTCTTGAAAAGCATTGGCTTGTTCTTCAAATCCCGCTGTTCTGAAGTAATTCACAACATCAATAACAGCCCAGTCAGCAGGGTCTGGAGGTCTCCCGTTCTCTACTGAACTGCAAAATGCAAATCCAGATGAGTAATCACTAAATATGTGCAGACTATGTGCAGCTGCTTCTTTGTGCACAACCCCTGTACATCCTCTCCCTTTCCATTTCCCCAGAAAAGGTACCCTTCAAGATCCCCCAAGAGACAGAACAACTCACTCCTGTTCTCTTCCATTTCAAAGACCTGACACAGGGACAATTGAGATACCTCTCCCTTTAGAAAAGAGGAAAGTACAGGAATCTGCATGTCAGCCAAAGGTAATCAGTCACAATCCTCACCTGTGGAGGGCCTGCCTTCGCAGCTGGACAACAAAGACTACCATGTCTGAGATACCAAATCCCAGTATTTTGAGACCTCAGTTTGTTTTCAGCCACCAAATACTCATAAAGAATAGCAGCATGTGGCTAAGTCTTTTCCCAGATGAGACAGTACTTCTTTGCGACATTGGTAGGAACTACTGGAAACCAGTTCTACCTTTTAAAACAAAAACAGAACCACCAGTGACTGTGCTAATTGTTCAACATAAAATATCTTCCAAAATTGCTTTTGGACTCATCTTTAGACAAATCTATGGACTTCTTAAACAGCTATTAATCCCAGAAAATAGCTGTTAAATACAATCAGAATGAATTCGTTCTATGATTGACCTCAGGCAATTGCTTGCCACAGTAGCAGAAACAACCAATCATCCGTATTGCTATCCTTATGCTCATCCTGCATTCCTTATCCTCAACCTGCCATTTTGCTATCTCAGATAACCTTTGTGTATCTGCAAGTTCTTGGTGAGAAATACACCCAGTGAACTTGACTGCCTTTCCTGCAGCAATTTAGGGGCATAAAGAGCAAGACGTCTTTCAAAATAAACAACTTTTAAAACATGCTTCTCCAACTAGAGGTCCTATTTCATACTTCAGGTTCATCACAGATATTTTCCACTGTCATGCATGCTTAACAGTAATGCTAATGATGAAAAAACAAATGTGTACACATCAGGCCAGATGTCAGGGTCCTGCCCATTTCAGGCCCTGAAGTTTAGCCATAGTACCTTGATTTTCAGCAGCAACAACTGGAAGACAAACACAGGTCATATTCTCCTGATAGCATGGTTTTTTTCTGCTTTTCGAATTTTTCTTTTTCAATTATTGTCACCTCTGTGTTGGCTAAGCTTAGTAAATGGCTGCCTTAAAGAAAGAATGGCAGGTCACTATGATTCAGAAAAGCCTAATTATGTCTTTCAGCAAAATATCCGAGTGAATCAAGGGCCCATCGCTTTCAACCAGCCATGATGAGAAGGGAGCAGAATTACAGATGGTGCCTCAAGTCATTTCATTTCTACAACATCCCCAACTTTTAGGACTAGCTAAGCCTGTGACAGAGTACTCAAACACAATGATTTTCACTTCTCTCATAACTCTTGGAATGTACCTTTAAATATGGCTACAAAATTATTGCCCTATGGACTCACACGGCAATCTGGGTATCACGCGGTATGTTGCACTTGGCCTTCTAAAAGCCATGACTCCCGCTTATCCCATAGAATACACACTTATTTGAGGGCAATGAGCTAGGGACCAGAGCTTCTTACTCTTACTCATCAAGTAATACCTTACCTCATGAACTACTTCACTGATTGCAATTACAGACCTTACTGTAATTGATTACCTGACTCTCTGGCCTTATGAGAGCTTCACTTTTTTTTTTTTTTTAAACATAAAAAAAGGCCTTTCAACGAAGATTTTTGGTATTGTGAATATTCTGAGGCTTAAAAAGTAAAATGTGCTATGAAACACACAAAATCTATACATACTCATCGAAGTAAAGTTTGAAGGTGTACGTTCAAATCTTTGCATAAGATATGCATAAGATATGCATCCTTAAGACACAGACTATCATTCCGAATGCTTCGTCTCCTACATAAAATTAAAAACAAACAAAAAGATCCCAACAACCGAATGTTGAATTTTATTTAATTTCTCCTAAACAGCAAGTAAAAGATTCCATCTGTTAAAAAAAAAATACCCCTCCAAACTCTATTTTGCTTACTTCCCAAAGCATTTTAATCTCAAGCTAGTTATGGTCACAAACCCTGCCTTTCACAATTTCGTATTTCACCTCAAGTGTATTAGTTCTTCACATAGCTCTTCTTCTAGTACAAGGGAATACACAGACTGGTCCAGCCCAATCCCAGGCCCAACTGCAACGACTTCACAGGCTCTGTCATAGACTAATCTCAAGAAATAACTGCAAGTTCCTGCCTCGGAGAATAGTATCTTGCTGGACCTCAAGTGGAGCCAATTTCCACAGCTACAGCTGCAAGGGCAGACTCAAGGGCATGTGGCAGACTTTTGGAAACTGGCTGCATTTTAACCCATCTATGCATACAGATGCTCTTTTGGCTTGTACATTTTAACAGTCTCTTCCTTGCCTTGTTGTTGCACATGGATCTTCTAAATTCTGTTTTCTTGTCTAAAGAGAAGAGCCATAGCTTAACCATGCACCTCTGTTTGCGAGACATCCTGAATGCTGTAAAACCTTAAGAGGGATGGCATCTTAGGCTGTAAAACAGATACCAGATGCACTAATTATGAATAGATTTTGCCTGTGTGCTTTGCACCACTGTCCCTGTGCCTTTATTGCCATCATGTGGCAGAAGCAGCAAGGCCTGGTAGGATATAGCTGTGAACAAACAGATTTTATCCAAGCTATTTATAACCACTTCAAGAAAGCACCAAATACTTGCTTTGTAAATATGTGCACATACACATTGCATGCATTCATTTTGAAACCACAGCTTCAGTTCAATTTAATTACAATCCCCATCAGCTTTAAAAAGCCACCTTCATAATTAGTAGTTGAGCCTTTATCACCTAAGCCTCAGGGGAAAATAATTAAATATAAGCTGTCCTTGCTTTGACTATTTCCCTGCTTCCCTCCCATGGAGTCCTCATTGTAGAAGCGAGACTGCTAATTGAAGGTGGCTTCTGAGGACATATAATGGTATAATCTACATATATTCACTGCATAGGCAAATACATTTTATATTGGTGTGGTGTAACCAATGACTCAAGTAGGGGGGGAATACACTGATTTTAATGGCTGTCATCAGATCTTTTGATGCTGTGCCATAATCAGGTGCTTCATCAGCATCCTAAAGCAATCATTATTATTATTATTGTTTATATTACTCTACCACCCAGGGGTCTAGGCATTACCAGGTTTTCTTCTAAGGCTCATGGTAAAGCGATCTGAAGGAGAACAACAAGATGTAGCTTTGCAGAAGCGTTGCAGTCCAAGAGGAGAGACTAGGAACTCTCCAGTTCCTCTCTTTGTGTTATGTATCAGCACAGTATCTATAACCCTAAAGCTGTAATGTCCATTTTTTTGTCCACTTTAAGAGTCCCATTTCTTGGGTCTTAGGATTACTTAGGATTGCTACTCCTAATTTAAGAATTGTTGATCTTCAGGGATACAGAAACTCCTTCAAAAACAGTTCCTACCCCTTAGCAAGCAGCCCACCACACTGAAGAATATCATAGGGCAGCGCATACCACGTGGAACTCTGTCTTATTCCCATTCCAGGTATCTGAAGTACAAACCCAGCAGTTTAGGGCTTCTTCAGCAAACAGTTTAGAATACCTGTTTCAGAGAAGAACTGACAGCAAAGACATACGCTGCTGCTACTACTTCTTAGCCCTGAATGGCAGGGCAGTCAGCAGGGAAAGGCATCTGTCTCTTCTTTGAAAAACACCTGGCACTGCTTCTGCAAAAGCCACTAGGCTGCATGTACAAAGACCCTTAAACTCCTCAGGCACCATTTGCTTTGCTGCTTCTGCTTTGCAAACCCTTCCTGAGGAGTTTCACCTCTCCAGTCAAGCTGAATGGTGAAAGGAGCTTCTCCTGTATCAGCAGGCAGCTGAGTGGAGGTGCAGTATTGCTTACAATACTACTACTTACTTTACTCTCTGGTTGAAAGACTAAGTCAAAGGAGACACTCCAACTTAAGTTTCTAGCTTCTGCATCTCTCCATTGCTATACAGCCCTCCCACATACCCCCTTTAATCAATTCAGTGCCCAGGACTCTTCTATGTCAAAGCTGAAATATAATAAAAGTAATTGAGAACAGGGAAACTTTGAAACAAGTGAAAATGGAGCCGTCGACCCTTGCCAACCAATTTAAGTGAGGAGAAAACTAAAATCCAATTCCATGTGGTGTTACATAAACTAAACACTATGGATTCACTTACTTTTTGACATCCAGAGAGCCATTTTCCTTGTTTTCCATGTCAACAGTTAGCATGGGGAGGACAGAGGTTTCTTTTACTTCAGCAACTAATCAATAGGGGGGGGAAAAAAAGCTGCATGTAATTATCAGCAGTATGAAAACAGCAACATAATGTAACAGAAACAGGCATTCTACAGAGACACAAGCATGATTCCACCTGAGAGTAAAAGTGCAGTCATGGACTGCTTTCCTCAAAAGCCTGGCAAGGCTGATAATAGCTAATAAAATGGGAACGCTGAACTGTGCTTCAAACGCAAGAAACGCTTCATGCCTGAAAATCAAGGATTGTAAAGTTAATTTTGATCTTTTTGTAAACTAAAAACTTTTTTTCCTAAATTGCATGCTCACATTTACACAGGGAAGAGATGGAGAGAAAGACCAACCTACTATAGATATATAGCTACGTATCAAGTGCACTTATTATACCTCCAGTCATCCTACTATATTAAGGATCACAGATGTGTGATCTTATCCTTAAGTGAGGTTTTTGAAAACCATATCCCTGTTTTATAAGTGAGGAAGCTGAGGTACAGATGAGCAAAGTGTTTTAAGCACAAGTCATGCATAAAGCTGGTCAGCAGTTATAAATTGAGCCCAAAACTCCTGGGGCCTAAATCAGTACCTTATCCATAAGACCATTCTTTCTGCGCTAGCACAGCCTCTTTTGTAGGTATATTGAATTCAGTAGAGGAAAGGCCTGTACAATGAACACAGAAGAAAAATCCAATTTGTTCCCCTCCTTGTAGTGTGCTAGAGTATTTCCACCACACAGCTTTTTCTATAACTTCATGAAGCACGTAGAAATGACCCAAGTCCTCCTGTTGCTGTTGTTCTTAAATAAGTCATTCCTACTTCACAGAGCACATAGGAACTGACCAAGGACTCAGGATGATCCTGCTGTAGCATTAATGGATGCCAGAAATGTCATACAGCTCTAGGAAGTACAGAATAGGGAAATCATGCTCTCCAGCTAAAAGTTTGCAAAAACAGATGATGCCAAATAACATCGCTATTAAAAAAATAAGTTAAAAAAGCAAAAGAAAAAAAGAAAGACCATTTATTATACAGTTAGCAACACGTAAAACACCAAAAACAACAGTTACAAACTAATCAAAAAGGCGTTTCTTCCAGTACTGTTGACCAAATAACTCAATGCTTTCTCCCAAACCACTTCTTAGTTCACCTGAGGTGACCACAAAATGACAACTGCCGCAACCTATTTGCAAAACCTTCCTCGACACAGCGAAACAAAACGAAAAGGCGACACCGAGCTCGTGTGCGGGGTATTTTCGGCGCAGCCCTCAGCCCCACACAGCCACCCAAACTTCAGGGGGCAGCACCGGCTCCCAGCACTCCCCCTCTCCTCCAGCGGGCGAGGAAACGGTTCCGTCGGGGACTGTGTGACACGCGTTCACCATTTTACAAGCATCTCAGAAACCATCCGCCAGGCAGCATTACACCACATTTTCCTTTTTTGGCTGGGGCGGGGGG